CCGTCTACACCGGACGCGACAAAATACAATAGAGGTTCTATTGATTATATTAAGTGACACTGTCTACACTGGATGTGGCGTGATGCGACAATTGTCGCGTCCGGTGTAGACACGGTGTTACTTGACTCTCTGTGACTCGAAGTCTGTTGGTGTTTGTTGGGGCAATGTGAACATGACAGTTATTTTTAATAAAATTCTAAATTTAACAGCCAACTTGAGCCAACTTGTTTGTTGGTGTTTGTTGGCGTTTGTCTGTGCGGTGTGAATTGGCCTTTAGTGGGAACATTGCTACACTGAGGTACTGTATGGTCATGATAGCTGGATATATCCTTCTTTAGTGAATGACACAATTTTGAAGAGTGATAAAAGTCTGATGAGTAATTTTCCTCATTGCAAAAAAAGGGGGAAAATGTTATAATAATCGTATCCTTACTTCCTACATACATCTAAAAATAATCCATTGATATGCAAATTCTGGTATATGTGCTCAGTTGTGGTGGATATTATTATATATATTTTTGATTTATCTGATAAGAAGAAATGTGCATAAACTAAAATGGAAACACATTTGTCAAAAAATTTTATCTGTGCACAAAAATAAAAAAATAAAAAAATACTTGTGACTTTGCCAAAGCAAGAGTGAGTAACCTCGGAATTCCATGTATCCTGTTGACAGAATTGGACAGCTCTCATAAAAGCAGTTCATTTCACAAAAGCACCTCTGCTATGAGTAATAATTGGGAAACTGACCAAGAACACTGCCATGAACACCATCCACTTCAACTATGTTTCTATTTTGTGTGAAACACAACCCTCTATTAAATGCTCATATGTTCAAATATGTTCAGTTTTTAGGCCACGACAGTAAAAACATTTAGTCAATGGATTAAAAGACAACTGTTTTTTACTAAATGAACCATTAAAATGAGAAGGTAACGTGTGTTTTGAACCGTAAAAGAGCTGTATGAGTCAAATTAAAATCTTCTGGTGAGATTTTAACACAGTATTTTTTTTATATTAGTAAATATAAATGCATATGTAAATATAAATGCATATATTTGTTATAAAAATTCTCCCTTTTTGTGTATTATCATATTATACCACATATTGCCAACTTTTAATTGCCTTTATTGAAGCACTTGAATGTTTGCTCTTGCCAACCACTATAATTTTACATCAAACTGACAACATATGAACATAAAATCTTTACAGGTTAAAGAGGCTGCTGCTGTTTAGAGTGAGCATGATGAATTGTGTGAAGACAGGGAAAAGCTATTAAGAGGGTCAGATCAATGTATTTCTAACTGACCAAGACGCTGAGTTACTTCAAGGGCGTATTTTAGTAGCTTCTTTATCTCTATCAACACTGCGTGCCAAGAGAAGCATGGCTTGGGAAACTGCATTGCCAGTAGACAACTTGACAAAGCAAATGCAAGTAGCAGTGGATGTTTTGGATGACGTGCAAAGTTAATTCGCACTTGTCTTGGGAATGAAAAGACTCAAACGCTGTTTTAATGCAGTCACAATGTCAACAGTAAATCAGAGGTTATTCACATTAGGTTTGTCATTGCCTGCAATCGTTAAGCGACAGGCACAGAATTGGAGTTGTCAGAGTTGGTTTTCATCACTCGTTGTATGTGCCCTCAAATCAATAGAAGCTAATTACACCCCACAATGAACCTGCGTGGCTCATGGTGGCGACACAGCGAGATTACAAAGTTAACACACTCCTTTACATAGGAGGAAACTTTGTGAACATACTATCAAACATGGTGTACTACCTATTAAGTTTGCTTATGTCTTGTCATGCATGAACAGCCATTGTGAATGTTCCTTTTGCTTCTTTATTTGCTATAATTGTGATATTTACAATGAAGTCACACTTTAAACACGTTGTGTTTTGTTCACTTCAATGAGAACAAAGAGCAAAACACTGATCTATGAATTTTGATCTGTGGATTTGTAGAATGGAGAGAATTGTAACTAATAGAGCATCCAAAGTTCATATTTCATTTAAAATGACTTCCTTACTGATTTGAAAATGTGCATATGCAACATTTCTGCAAAATGATATCAAGTTTCTTCTCGAAGGTTTCATGATGCTTTCAAAGTGAAGTGTTTAAAGAATGTTGCTCAAATTGTGAACAGCTTTATCCAAAATAGATCAACATGAATCTAGCAAAGTTTTATTATGTTGGTTTTGTACATATCACTGCAGTTCAGAAATAAAATGTCTGATAAGTAGCACTAAAAATTTAATGCTCTATAGCTTTTTAAAACAATGTACGGCCCCACTTTATATTAAGAGGCCTTAACTACTATGTACTTACATCAAAAATTAAGTACAATGTACTTATTGTGTTCACATTGTATTGCAAAACACTTTTGCTGCTATTGAGGTGAGATATGGGTAAGGTTAGGGACAGGTTTGGTGGTATGGGTAGGTTTAAGGTGTAAGGGATGGGTCAACAGTGTAATTATAAATGTAATTACAGAAATTAATTACAGATGTAATTACATGCAGGTATTTTTAAAATATAAGTACAATGTAAAAACATGTATGTACACAATAAGTGCATTTTAAATTAAATTATTAATTTAAAAGTACATAGTTGTTAAGGCCACTTAATATAAAGTGGGTCCCAATGTACTACTTACACTAAACCTGCTGTCAGTGTTAACAAAAGCAAACATAGAAAAAAAAGGGCATTTTCTGAAGCAACCATGCCATTTTAAGTCTTTTACTCTTACTCGATTTATCCACATCGCAAGTGCAGTGCTGTATCAGGTGAGCTACTGAGCAAGTTTACTATGCCAGAAAACCATTATATATGGAGCTGATTATGTGGTGGAAATGTCAAAATGTATTAGTTTACATATCATGGTAAAAGTGATATAATGTCAGAAGATAGTATTGTGCAAGGAACCACGCAAAAATAAATCCTTATTAATTTATATAAGTGAATACAGTCTTCCACTGTAATCACTGTGAGAAAAAGGCAAAGTTGTGGCCACTGGTGCTTTTTTGCAGTGAATTGTATGTACTGTATGTATGAGCATATCTTTCAAATGCTCATACTATGCTGTTACTTTTCTAGTAAATTCATAATTTCAAGGATTTTTAGATACTTTACCTCAATTATTAGACAAAAATTCTCATTAAGAATATGATTATTTGCAGTAAAGGTTGTGTAGATGCGTTAAATCAATGCAGAGGTTATTGAGCTGCATGGGTCCCTGGAATGCATAGGCAGCAGGGTAACATTGAGGAATTCCATCTTTTAATACTGTGACAGGGGACATACATCTACATCACAAGACCTGCGGAGAGAAAGAGAGTGTGTGTATTTGAGAGACAAGAGGGAGGGGTTGAAAGATGCTCAGATGACAGTGCTGTGTGATTTGCCTCAGACCTTGCTGCAGTCTTGCACCTTCAGCAAACTGTCCCTCCTAAGAGCCTCATTGAGTGGAATTCCAATTTCTTGCTGCTCTTTGAGATCAAGTATCTTGTAGAAAATGTCCCAGCTATGGAAGGAGAAGTATGCCCTCAAGTGTAGTTTAAACAAAACGAATCGCTCACTGCAGAGTTAAGTCATAAAAATTGCATTAAGCATACAATACCCAGAGATTACAGAGGATTCAGACAAAGATCCAGAGCGATCAGTGCATTTTATAGTCTTATTGTTCCCCCTTTATATTAGGTGTCTTTAACTACTGTGTACTTGGGTAAAAAAGCTGGGTAGTAACTGATTACATGTAATCTGGATTACATAATCAAAAAATTAAGTATTTGTAATTAGATTACATTAAAATTACATTTTAAAATACTCATAATCAGTTTTTTTTTTATTGATTGCATGATTACATATTTTTCACACAACAGCAATAAATTATTCACAATTTATTAATTCTCCCTAATTCATCTTTTTTCAACTTGTTCCTTTCAAATGTTCCTTTCTAAAATAGCCTACCACTTATATACACTTAGAAAGTCTTCCAGTATTGTGGACATTCAGACAAAGACCAGTCACAAAAATCATTTCAGGTTTAAGTGTTTCACAACATTGCATCAAATACTGATGAACACATTATTTTTTATTTGAATTATCACTTGGTAGGTTATTTAACCATGTATCACTGTGTCTTTAGAAGGCTTTTGTTTTTCAAACAAATTAAAATGCACAAATTACTTGAAGTATCTCTTGAGATTTTAAAATAAATGTTTTAAAAATTACTTGATAAATAAATGTTGGTTAATGGTCACATGACATGCAGCTAAACAAATAATTAATTTAAAAAAAACTTTTTTTCATTGATTGATTGATTGTATTTTAAAATTGTTTAATTTAATTTTACATTTTTATAATTTATTTAATTATTACCTTTTCATTAAACTCTCAAACCCCCTGCAGTTCCCTGCATTATGACATCATAGTATACTAACATACAATGGCCTCAAAAACAATTTCCACATGTGTTACACTATATGAATATATATTTTACAGTCCTGTACAGGTACTAAATCCAAGTAGTTACCTTTTATTAAAGCTGTACTGAAACAATCTGTATTGTATGAAACACTCTATAAATAAAGGTGACTTGACTTTTGCAAGTAAACTGGATTTATTATTTTTGGACTAACAATAAATGTTGGAATTCCTATTCTATAATAACAGTGTCAAAATATTGACCTATAAGGCTGATAATTAACCCTAAACTGCTCAAAATGTCCAGAAACTGGTTCCCTTGAAACATCCTAGACACTCCTCCCTTTGAGAGCTGCTCCCTAATTGGTTCCCCAGAGTAAACTTCTCCATTAAGCCCGCCCCTTTGTGTTATGACAGGCAGTGATAGACCCTAAAGCCATCACATGACATTATCTGTTAATTGAATGTCCCTTCAGATTACATGGATGAGAGGCTCAGATGAGAACAGCTAATGGCTGACTGAAAGAGAAAGAGATATTGATGTCCCTGTATAGGAATTATGATTTTACTCAAATTCAAGCAATATATTGATTGTGCACCTGTATTTAAAACTGTTCTCAGTAGATCATATCTGTTTTAGAGTTGTAAATTAGAAGTCCACTTACTTTTGGACACATAATATAATGGTAATACATCACATATGTAGCAACAAAGAATGGACTATTTGAACCAAGTTTTGAAAAATATATTTGGAAAAAAAGGAAGAAAGAACAGTATGTTTAATGCGATAAAATGTATAAAAAAACTACATTGTATTACAGAAATGGGATAGAAAAGTGGTATAGAGGAGTCTAGTTAAAAATATAAAGAGTGGTTCTGTGGTTCTGAAGAATGCTTCAGTCACCAATGTAATGACACATTTTTGAAAAAAAAAAAAAAAAAGATCTATATACCAAGAGAGAGAGATGACAAATGTAAATGAGACAAATTATCATATTTACACTAAATTGAACTCTATGAGTTATCATAGAGTTGTCATAAATTTCATATATAAAATCGATTTGCTATTTTTTTCCTCCGCTGCACTAACCCTCAGTTTGAACTCCTACAAACAGTTTAATTTCTCCTGAGAACAGAATGAAGACTCATAAAAAACACTCAGTACCCTTAAACGGATAGTTCACCCAAAAAAATGAAATTGTTGCAGTTTTGTCAGGAGCCACGGATATTCATTTTGTGTTCCTTGATATGCTTTTTTTATTCTCAAAAATGGGTAGCCACTGATTTGCATTTTATGAATCACCAAGGACCATGGTTTCAGCTAAAAATCTTCTTTACTGTTCTACTGAAAACAAAAAAGTCACCTACATCTTGGATGGCCTGAGGGTGAGTAAATTAACAGCAAATTTAAATTTTTGGGTGAACTATCCCTTTAATTATGCATATTAGCACAGTCAAATTTTCAGCTGAACCTTGTTTTGTTCATTTGACATCCTGAGTGATGTGTATTTCATATGAGCAGTCTCATACACTGTAATGAAATGCGTTGTCAAGAAATCGAATATATACTTTATATTTAGATTAACTGATTTTATTCAAGTCAAAGATATTATTTAACATAAAGTCCTATATATAATATATAACCTAAAATAAAATGATCATTCTGCCTTATCAAACTCCACTGGTGTGTTCTTTGTTAGCTTTCTCTTCTCCATCTTCCTGAATGTGTCGAGATCTCTGTGGTTTAATGATTACGCGATTAAACAGTGTGAGGCGTGGACTGTTTGGTCGGAGCTGCTTCAGGTCACTAGAGGGGGTGATGATGTTACGACCCTGAGGAGATGGAAAGAAGACCGATACATTAATTGTACAATAAATTTCCTAAAAATTACATTACGAGTGTTTGAACAATTATGTGCTGTTAAAGATCGCAGTAAGGTTCCAGGAGTGAACTGATTTTGAAAACTATGTATTTTGAACAATTAACTGATTTTTAACAATTACATATAAATATTTCCAGATAAACCTACCATAGGCTCTGAGGTTGTTAATATATGCTTCTGTAGAAGTCAACATGATTTCAGTGCATTTTTATAAAATCTTGTTCATTAGCCCAATTCACAGTGAAGAACTACATTACCCACAATCCCTAACAAAGAACCACCAATCAGAGAAGACTCTGTTACCATGGAAATGTAAACTCTGGCAAAACATTACAATTATGTGAGTTGTTCTCCCTATAACTACTATATAATGTTTGTAAATATTATATACTGCACATTCAAGTTCATTCTAAGATGTACACTGACTTTAATTGTTACATACTTTCTTTTTTTCAAATCAGTGTTTGCAATATCATAATCATGCTGGTTGGTTTGGTTCGTGACTTGGTTCATGACAATATTTTACTGAAATCTTTTAGAAATCACTATTGAGAAATGAATGGGGAAAAATACTTCCAGAACCAAGACAGCTGAAAAAGTAGGTGATCACTGTTAAATCCTGCTATTTAAATTATGTGTTTTCTTTTATTATACAATATTTACGCACAAAATTCTGTGTTAAATGGTAAAAAGTCAGTGTCTGTATTTAAGAATGGAGGACAGATGCTGTGACAGACGGAATTGACTGAGATAAGATGAATGAATGCATGACTAAATGATGAACGGATGGGTTGGATGGATTGATGGGTTTTACTCACCCTTCCTAAAGAGACGAACAAGAAGATTGGGATATAAACCATAGGAATGACTGTGAGCAAAGGTGCCAACTTGTAACTCCAGTCCGGCACAAATGGATCAGCTGAAGACACAGATTTACTACCCAGCAGGTTATACAGCAGAGTAGCCTAAGGGGGGAAAAAAGAGACAAATTCCTGTACTTTCAAAACGGTTACTCAATTTGATGCAAAACTTAATTCACAACACAAAATATATACAACATCCTGACTACAGTACATGCACCATGTTGGTGTAAAGACCTTGAAGAGCCTGAGATCTGCAACACTCAAAATAATCATCGAATCATTGAATTCATCATTTGAATACTGCTTATGGATAAAACTGTCTGCTAAAAAAGTAATTCTAAATGGATATCTATTTTAAGTAGCTACAGTTTGCCACTTGTTCTTTTTGAGTGTTACAAATTCTATAAAATAAAAGAGACAGAAGACTCCAAAAAGCTCCAAACCATGACAGATAAACTGCTCGGATTAATGAATGTATTGAAGGAATGGATGCATAGCAGGATGTCAAACGAAACATGAAACAATCATTGATGAACTAATGAGAAAGCAATGCAGATTTTGAAACAATAAACAGTTACAGAAGAGTGAGAAAGAGCTAGAGAGAGACAAAATGTGAACTCACAACACAGATGAGAGGGCTAATGAAGAGCCAGCAGTACTTCAGCACAGGGAATGGTGCGTATCCTATCATGTCCTCAATGTTGTCATAGAAACGGTTTGCACCTGCAAACCAACCATTTGCGTGACATTTTTTTTTCTTGTTTACCTTTCTCTCATTTTTAAAATGTATGTCTTATTGCAGTTATTATACACAGTGTTCGTTTTTTGAGTAGCAAACTTTAAACTCCAGTGGAAGTTTTATGAACAAAGTATAGCGCTAAAAGATTAACTCACTCAACTTAAACTTGTTTAAGAATATTTATATGTTCAATACTCATCCATAATTGATAGTCATATTATAATGTAATTACATTGTAATAAACATAGTACAAGAAGTAATTATTTGCTGTAGCTTAGAAAAGTTATTGTATTAAACATTTTTTGATATACACTGTAAATAATATTTTGTCTTGTAAATTATTATTTTTTTGCAGTTGGTTGCATTGAGTGATAATATGTCCTTAGAGTCTCAGTGAAAATGCATTCACAACCCATTTTACTTTAATAATGTGTCATAGAGAAACAAGCTATTCAATAAGAATTTTAAAAACAGCACACTTTACAGTGTATTGTATGTATGTGTATTGTAGCGTCTCTTACCGTAAACCCATGCGACAACAATCGTCTCAAAGCAGGCGATAAAGAGCAGGTTAGTTCCACTCGGGCCATAGGTGTCCATCACAGTAAACAGATGGAATCCTCCCTAAAATATAGTATGCTGTAAAGTTAGAAAATATCTAATATCTATTTTCTTTTTTTTTCTATACCTTTGTGATGAATGGCAGACCCAGTAAGAAGCAGATGACGGCGATTTTTAACACCAAAAGCTCTCGCCGCTTCCTTAGAACTCCAGGAAATAGGTCTGTGAGAGCTGTGGCTAAACTCTCCACACACACAAACTTCAAAAGACATGGATATAAACCCTTACACATTTATCAAAATGGATATAAGACTCGTGGAAAAAATATCATAAAATATCATGTTATATATACTATGTGATGTTGAACAACCGTACCTGGCTGTCAAGGCCCAGAAGAAGTACCATAAAAAAGAAAAGAACAGACCAGAACTGGGGTCCAGGTAACAGAGAGAGGGCTCTAGGATATGCTATGAATGCTAGTCCAGGACCTGAAATGAAATAAAATAAAAGTTTTTCATTATTGTCGCATAACCCTAAAATATATATTTCATAATATAGCATTCATAATATATAATTCAGTATTCAGTTTCAATACATTCAGACATACATAGACCACAAGTGTTGGCCTGAGATGCTCTCTTGTGGTGGATAGCAACATAGCAAGAGACTATGACACACTACATGGTCAAAAGTGGCCATGCTTGCAGTTGGATTGCCAATTTACCCTGAAAGTGTTCAGTGAGGTTCAGATCTGAGATTTGTGCATGTCTTTTCCACTAGAATCAGTACTTGATGTGTGTAGAGGCATAAAAGTCACCGGACTCTAAATGTTTAAGGAGACTGAAAAAGCATCTGTAACCCATTAATTAGAAGGCAGTGTCCACATATTTTTTTTTTCCATGAAAAATGTAGACCCATATATGGAGCCCCTTAAAGTGTAGAAAATTGAATAGGAGAAAAAATGCCTGTTTTGTGAGGAGACGCAAAGTTTGCTGAGGGAACACAATACTTTTAAAAGAGAATACAAGTGTTTTGTGAGAGAACGCAAATATTCTCTATAGTTTTGTGAGAAAGCATAAATGTTTTGTGAAAGAACACAAAGTTCCAAGGGGGAATGTAGTACTTTTGTTAGCAAATCCAAAAGCACTGAAATATAATTTTTCCTCCCATCTCATATTTTGTTCCATCACCATGTCCCCTTTGGGGCTGCATAGACATAAATAATCCAGTGTACTATATTATATCTAGACAGCTTATATAGTCTCATCATAACAATATTTACCTGATGATGCTATGTCTTCCATGGGTAAACCTAACTGATGGGCCATGAACCCCAGAATAGAAAAGACAACAAATCCAGCAAAGATGCTGGTGGAGCTGTTCAGAATACAGAGTGCTATACAGTCCCTGTGGAACACAGAATATAGAAATAACAATAAATGATGAAATGCAGACGACTGTGATATGGATCAATAGGTGGGGTGCAGAACGTTAATGCAGGAGGCTACTGACTTGTAGCAGTCATTGTTGTATTTGTTATAACTGCCCAGCGCTGTTAGGACTCCTTGACACACAGCGTAGGAGAAAAACACCTGAGTGCCTGCATCACGCCATACCTGCAGAAAATGAGATAAATATGCAACATAAAATTTATTTTAATTTTGGGGTGGAATTTGACCTGGACATTTCTTTATGAGATTCACAAATTCACTATAGACATCCACATCTGCACATCTGGTTACTATAAGCATGGTTAGAGGGCTGACATCCTCCAATTCAGTTTTGTAATGCTAGTGTTTATTCGCTTTTCTTAGACTCTATATACATGATACCCCATCCGCCTATATATTTATACACACTTCCTGTGTGAGTACATTGTCTCAGAGAAGGCATGGCAAGTAAGAAAGAAAATAATCAAACCGTACAAAAATTAAAACAAAATATATTTCTAAATATTATACATTTTTATAATTTTATACTGTCCTACAGTGACACCAATAGATGCAGTTTGGATGGGAACATCTACACTGAACAAAATTATAAATGCAACACTTTTGTTTTTGCCCCCATTTTTCATGAGCTGAACTCAAAGATCTAAGGCAGACGCCCAAATCCACTATAATTTTATAAATAATACTGTTTTTTGTGTCACAGAATGTAGGTTTAATATTTTATTTATTTATTTTTTTTTTTTTAAGAAAAGAATGTAGTTGTTTAGACGTAAAATATGTGGTTTGTTAATAAAGATAACATCTATTTGAAAATTTGCTTCAGCATTTTCAGAGCTCCATGGCATCAGCATCCGTTCAACACTCATTAACCCACCGAGAGCAGCCTTACCTCGGCCAGATCTTCTGGAATTTACCACTGGCTCTGATGTCTGTGCAGTTTTAGCACAATGCCACAGATGTCGCAAGTTTTGAGGGAGCGTGCAATTGGCATGCTGACTGCAGACTGCAGCACCAGAGCTGTTGCCCGTGAATTGAATGTTCATTTCTCTACCATAAGCCGTCTCCAAAGGC